CTTGACCCTGAGCCAAACTTTCATGCTCCAATTTGCCACAGTGCGTTTCACATAATGACACGCAGTGACAACACATTGCCATTTAATATCACTGTTTTGAGATTATTCTCCTCTAATACTTCTTTTCTTTGTGAAAGATTGTGTGTTGTGTTGTTGTGGAGTTTTTTGTGGGGGTTTTTTTTGGCTTTTTTTTTTGCCATTTGCAATAGCTTTCTTTTGCCAAGCCAGAACAGACTGGGCAACTCGTTAGGTCATTTTGTGGTGTTTGTTCTGGGGGACACTAGATAATTGTTAATGCAAACATCACTGAATAAACAAACAGAAGCCCAAGAAAATTCATTCAGTTAATAGTGCCTTCTGGATCACTGACCATGGAAAAATTGTTGTTTATAGAGTGAATCATTAATTTGGCTTGCATATGAGATAGGCTTGCCACTAAAATAATAAACTATGACTGGCAGATAAATACGATACTTGTTTTAACCAGGGTAAAATGAATGAAACATTAAAAATCATGTTAGTTGCTAATTGCCAACTTCAATTCTTTTGAAGCATGAGCTTTGCTAAAAGCTGGACATTTTGTTAAAAAGCTTTGTTAGGTAATTATTTTCCTCCCTGCCAAAGAACTGCAAAGGTTTGCTGATTCTAAACTTCATCTCAGTCCTTGCACTATCAGGTAGATTGAGGTACATACAGCTTAGGGTCCTCCAGCTTCTGGAGCATCCTTCTTCTTGCATTAATTTATTAAAACTATAATTCTGTGCAATGGATATACAGATCCCCCTTCATGTATTGAATTTTGTGAGGAAGTATGAGGAAGTGCTTGAATCTAGAGACTGTCTGTTGCCAACTCAATGAGAAATTTTTCAGCAAATGAGGCCAGTATGTAAATTACTAAAAATCATTATGTTAACTGAACATAAGTAACTCAGTGGTCAAACAAAATATAATTCAAGTGTTCTGGAAAGCAATAACTGAATGAGAGTTTATTAATCTGCAGTTACTCAACTTCTCCTTTGATTTACTGAGGTATCTGCATGCCTCTGACCACCGTCCAGTACCAAACGCCTTGTGGCAAACTGGATGGAATGAATTTGGATTTGAAGTAATGTTTCTCTTTTTCCAGAAAAGTTTTAATTTCCTGTAAAGCACAAAGGGCTAGCTATGCTATATGTAATGATAATTTCTAAATCTGTTTTCCCTATTTATAATAGAGAAGGTTTGGGATTTAATTTTAATTGTTGCTAAAAAAAGGCCTTGCAGACTTACAATGTCTGTATGTTTAATTTCCTACTACACGCAAAACCAACAGATATGGTTTTCTTCAGACATTTTTTACAATGATGAGCCCAAAATATTTTGGCAAGAATAGAGGCAGAAGGACTTCAAAAGGCAAACATTAGTAGTAGACTATTATCATAAGTAGTTGCTGGTCTGTGATTTCTGCCTTTGGAATATAGTTTTAGTCTCTTTCCCCATTAGCAGTTCAGACATTTCTCAGACAATAAGAATTTCTTGTGATTTTTCTCCATCAAGTAAGACATATACAAGGGATATGCAGTGATATCATATGCTAAATAAAATTGCATTTGATAATGCATAATTTCTCCATACAGTTGTTATTTGTGCATACAGTATTGTATTCTTACTGCACTACTGACCTTGAGAATGAATTGTTTCATACTATCAGTAGTATTTAATTTGGCTTGTGGTATTTCCTACACTTCACAAAGTGTCTCTTCTTGATGTTGTGCACACAAGAAATTTTCTTTTTGTTTGCCATGTTATTTCATTATTGTATACTGGAATGTTCAGTCACCGAATTACTTTGTGAAATTACATCTATTATACCACTGGAATATGACCTGATTTATTATAAGAAGATCAGAGCATAGCTCAAGTGCTCAGTGCATTATCCTAAATGAAGTTTTGTCTCTGAGGGCTGCCCCTCATCTTTGCCGTTATGTTTTAGCCATTGATTTCCCTTTAGAATGCAAATGCCATAAAAATACTGCTTGGTAAATGTTTCTTCAGTATTGAATAACTGCTTTTTCTGCCAAGGATGTGTCAAAGTCTCTTCCCAACCTGTCTGTCACACACTGTTCCTTTTACATGCATCAGCAGAGGTCAGCTAAATAGGTCTGATAACTCAGTTTTGGAGGAGATGCAGATTGCAAGGCAGGTTGAAAGGATGGCAGGTAACTTTTCAAAGCTTGCTTGTTTACATATCTTTGATTGCAGTGGTTCCCAGCCCCTTTGGAGAGAGGCACACTGCTTTTGGAGCCTTCATTTCTCTTTGAGTGGTACGGGCTGTTCATGCCTCCCTCCGTGCCTGCAAACCAGGTTCTGTCCTGGAGCTGTCTCCTCTGCACCTCCTCAATTCAAAGGCACAGGCAGCTCCTTTCTCCCATTCTGATGCACAGTTTGTCCCAGAGCAACCTAATGGTGGGGAGGGGCAAATAAAATTAAAAAAAAAAAATTATCTAGGCTGAAGGAAGCTCCTATGAGAGCTAGAAAGTTGCTCAGGTGAAAGTGGCTGTGATTTGGAGATGGGGTTGCAGAGATTAGCCAGAAGCTTATCACGGATATCTGTAAGCAATGGGTTTCACAGTTTATCATTTTACAATTTTTTTTTTTTTTTGCAATTACTTAGGTTTATATTTTCTGCCTTTTTTCATGTGCTACAGGAGGAGCCTGTTAGTAATCATTGGGGCTTTTACCAGCATTTCTGCATGATGCATGATATGTATTCCTGTAATTTAATTATCTAGAGTGTTTATTTGGTGTATAAATGCTGGAAACAATGACATTTCGGAGATTATTTATGAGGTACTGCACTTTGTAATCAAACCTTCTGTGTGCTGTTTGTAAAACATCAAGTGTTATAAAATTGCTGGTAGTCGGAAAAGAGGACATTGATAATGGGCTGACATTCTCTGTGCAGCTGCAGATGAGAATCAGTAGGAAATAGAGGGAAGCAGAAGCAGTGGCAGCTGTATTACAAAGATTAGTTACTGAGATGTTGCCTGCCTGAGAAACACATAAACTCTGCAAGGAATTTTATTTTGTGTTGAGAATGATGTAGCTCCAGCTTTACATTTTAGACACTATTTTATTAGTAAAAATTATTTTTTTTCTCTGTGATAATACAAATATTTCTGAATTAAGTAAAAAAATGCATTGCACCTAAAAAAAAACAAGAATAAAAAGTAGTCATACTATATTACAGAAATGAACAGTGTTAGACAAGGCTTAGATCAAAGAGTAGCTAAAAGAGAATGGAAACGGAATTGTCATTGACTGTGGAACCAAAGTTGCCCAAACCCAAACTTTGAAGAACTTTTATTAATAAGGCAGAACAAAACACAAGAGAATAAACTTTTGACTGCAGTAGGAATTAGTGACCTGCCGTGACCAGGGCCCAAGGAAGGAGAGCACTGTGCATTACTTCAGTTTATGTTTCAAAGATAGATGCTCTTATAGTTCCAGAAGGCTAAGTCCTCAGAATATTTGGCTAAGGTGAGTAAAGTCTCTTTTTGACTTGAGTTTATTCAGCTGCAAAAAGAGTTCATAAATATTACAGGGAAACATACTTTGTAACACAATGACTGACCCACCAGAGAGAAAATCTTTGAAACAGTAATAGTGACCTTGACTTTATGAGTATTTTTGATAGCAGAATTACAGATACAGTTTGTTATTGGATCTTGGAGCTCATGTAAGGCTGATAAGGAAAGAATGATGATGGGTCATTTTCAAATTTCTGAATTGTAACCTGTCCAGCCTAGGCTATCTTGGCTAGAAATTAGTCTAGAGAACAGACTGTGAACCAGGCAGAGCTCAATAAATAGAGAACATTAACCTCATATGTGTGCTGTTCAATAAAACTGCATTCAGGCCAGCAAAATAAATCCAGAGACTTAATAAATATTTTATTATTATGAAGTATGAAGAGATTTAACTGTAACTATTAGGTCTTAAATTTTGTACTGTGTGAAGAATTTTTAATTTTATTTTAAACTTAGGCTAAGGGTGCAAATTTTGTGTTGGAACTTTGAGTACTATACCTATACAAGTAATGGCAAGAACATTATTAATGCAAAATAGCAATAAAATACTTGGTGGAGAGAATATTATTACGGGATTTTTTTTTTTTTTTTTTTCTGCAGGCATTGAATTAAACTGCTGTTTTGCCCAGGACTGTTTTGTGTTTCCTGAAAATGTTACTGACTGGTGCTTGAGTGTTTCTATTGCAGACCCAGCAGCAGGACACTGTTGGTAACCTCTGCTAACACTCTGTTCCAGTGGCTTTAGCACATAAATAAATGAATGCATAAGCATGCATGGTGATGAATACACTTTAAGTAAAGGCCAGGCAAAGTAATAATCGCCGGATTTGGTGTGACATTTTGCCAGCACTCACACGTATTCCTGACTTTTCTAACATTTGTTTTTCAACTAGTAAATATTTCTGGAAAGTAAGCACACTGTTAAATGACAGCGGTTTCTGTGGAGAGATTAGGTACATTAATAATATATGAGACAAAAGGTACTAGTGAGTAATGGTTTTTAATTAGAGGAGAAAAGAAAAAAAAAATTTTTTAAAAGAGGAAGTGTTCTGAAGAGCAGCATACTTAATTGTCTCTATTTTTGTTACTTTTGAGTATACTCTTAAGAAACAAAAATTGGAATACATGAAAGGAAAGAAATTTACACTTGTGATAAGAAAAGTATGTTTGAATGTCCTGTGGAAGGGAGGAGGTGGTGAGAACACAAGCATTCCTTGATTATATTCAATGAAACCAGGTTGTGTACTTTATAAGAACAGGAAGAACTTCTAACGTCTTCCTAATCCTGTTGCAACTTTGATCATTTCTGCTTTTAAGCAATGGCTATAACTGGACCTAGCAAAGAGGAGTGCAATGGCTCGTCTCAGCCAGATAACTCTTGTGTTTTGCTATGTCTTTTTCATTCTAATGAAATCTTTCTCTCCATTTTAGACAAATATCACTTGCTGTGTCATAGCACATGGATTTCAGGACCACCTGTGAAGAGGTAGGATCAGATTTTTTTTCAAATAGTAGAATGAAAATCAATGAACTTTTAATCCTTTCTATATGCAACATACTTTTCCTCTCCCTTTTCATCCCCTGAAATTTTAGGAATTATATAGTTAAATATAAGTTATTCAGCTGATCATTTCATTTCATGGTGGCAGATGGACTTTGTAGTAGAAGATGAAAGAATTTGTGCAAGTGTATTCATCACTAGACCTCACCTCTGTTCCCATTTACCTCTTTAGGCACAATGTAGGTGCAGGCAGCTACGTTTTGTGTGAGTTTTGCTCTTCTTGAAATTGTTTATATCTGAAAGCTTGTACATGAAGAAAAACGTCAGTGGAGCCAGGAATCTGTCTGGTGCTGCTCAGCAGAATCAAGGGGGAAATGTAGAAGTATGGGAGAAAAGTGGGTAGGGAGAAGGGAAGCTGTGAAGATGACCAAAATGGAAAGAAATTCCATTCAGATTTAGTGAGGTAAGAAAGTAATTTTTGCCTAGAATTAGTTTCATAATACCAATGGAAAGTACTTCAGTCCCCCTCCACTAGAGATGAGGGAAGTATTTTCTATGTTTATACTAATTTGTCTTAAAGAAATAAAATAAAATGTATTTGTAGACATTAGCAAGGGCATCTTATTTACTCAGTGATTGTCTATATACAATTATTGTAATATGATTTTAACAACTTCAGCAATTGAGACACAGTGAGAACCATTTACAGCAAATTATGTAATGATTTAAATGCATTATTATAATTTAAAAATCATGACAATTACCTGTATACTGAAAACCACAAAGAGCATTTAGGAAGGTAGGACTGGAAGCAAGAAAACTGGCTAGAACTTTAAATGTGACCATGATCCCATGAAAAAATAGAAGTGAAGGGATTGGAAGAGCACTAAAATCAAGAACTAACTGCAGCATAATCAACTGTGACTTGAGAATCAGTTGGAATAAATTAGGGGAGAAGAGAAAACAAGCAGACTAAAGAACACTAAATCATGACAGCATTCTGAAACTTGGAGTAGGGTCAAAAAGTAATATTAAAATGAGCCCTGCCTTTGGGAAAGAATACTGTGGTGTTTTTCCAGGATGGTATATATCAGGATATAATACCTCAGAAGATGCATGCACGGTGTAAATTCTATAGCAATATATCCCAGATTATTTGCATGGAAGAAAGCATTCTTACTAGTTTTGAGGTTTCTCTTTTCAAATAGAGTATTTTCAGTTAGAAGGAGCCTGCAATGATCATGTAGTCCAACTTTCTAACTGCTCCATGGCTGACCAAGAGTTAAAGCATATTATTAGAGCATTTTGGTTTTGGTTTTATTATTATTATTATTATTTCTTTTTGAATGCACTCATTCAGGTGAAGAGGAAGATAAGTATTATTTTCATAGTGTTTTTTATGTTGTTATTCTTTAAACTCTGTAGACTATTTAGTGACATGTAACTTCACTCTGTGTCCAGCAGACGTAATGACAGGAGCAGGCACAGAAAGACAACTTGGCATAAGTGTGCCTTTACAGTGCAAGTGCACTGACAGATCTGTTTCATTCTTTATCTTGTTTCTAATGGGGGCATTGATTTCAAATTTAGCTCTTTAAATATCAGCTGATTTGCAGAGCTTCCATGATGGACAAGGGAAGGAAAGGATGGTTCCACCCATCCTAAGAAAACTCCATGATCTGAAGATCGCAAAGTTACTAAGTTACTAAAGTTACTAAGAAGTTTTTGATAATGGCAATAAAAGCTTTTGTGAAGCATCTTGGCTGTCTGATCTTCCTCTTCCAGCCTTTTTGTTTCCTTTCATCTGCATATCCCAGTGCTGTAGCCGCTACGCTGCAGAAGAGCTGAGGTCGTTCTCCCAAAGTGGTGAATGCAGATCAGATTCTTGTTGGTGCTTCCATCTTTAGTAATGGCAATAAATGGTTTGAGCTGAGTTTCAATTAGCATAAAATCAAAATTTTCCACATAGATGCACTGAGGCTAAAGCATGTTTTTCATGGTGTCCATGACATACTCAATTTTTTTTTTCCTCAAATGACTTTTCATTCTAATTAACTGCTGTTCTAGTGCACTGGAGGTCTCTGAGGGAACCTTAGTTCTTTCATAGTACTGATGCTTTCATGCATCCCTAATTTCTTCTAGTGCCTACTAGTGAGATTTGATTTGAGATTTGGACACTGAAATAGTCTTGTCTCCTTATAGGTACCTACATGTGCGCTTTGTGCCTAAGTTCCTGCACCAGATCTGATTGGAGCAGTCAGGGTTATAATGAGAGGTTAAACAGAGATATGTAGACAGGTAGAATTTGTTTCTAATCTCAAAGTGATTTCTAGCATCCTAATGATTATTGTCTCCCACAAGCATCTTATCTTCAGGCTGTGCTACCTTTCAAGGCATCTTGAAGTAGTTTTTGTCTGCAAGAAAATAACTTCCATGCTAGACAATTCAAATGGCACTACATAAAGAGGACATCTTACATACATATACACATTTTTTAAGGGAAATTACCTGCTATCTGAAGAGGTGATTTTTTTTTTTTTTTGGTGTATGTGGCTTCTCTGCTTGCTACTTATGGGAGTTTTTTCACTGTTTCGTACTTCATTATTCAGTATTCCATGCTCTTTTCCCTCACTTATCAGCAAATATATCCTTTTTTTGGTTCTTTTGTTTAACAATTTCGAAACCATAAGACTATCCAGCTCCTCTTTTACCCTTTATCCTGAGCTTTTTGAACTTTACAAGAGCATAAATCACAGAGTCACTGGGTTCTTAAAATGCTCTCCTGTACTCACTTGACCTTATTCTATATTCTGAAAACTATCTCTTGCAAGATAACCTCAGTCTCTGACATAATACTGTCCTCTGCAGTGAAAGTATCCTTCTGTTGAAATTGAAGACTTGGGATGATTATAATGCCTTAGAACATCTTCCCCTTTGATTTTTTTTAAGTTCATCTTTTCCATGTACTTTTTTTACAGTACTTTCCATGTACTTTTAGAAAGCTGCATTAGCAGCTTTCTAACTTTTTGAAATCTCATTCTTTACTTCTAATAGCTTAGCTTCTCCCCTGTCCCCAGTATAGCATCAAACTTTTTAAGTTAATAAATACCCCATTCATTTCCCTGCTTACACTCTATCCATTTGTTTTCACAGTAGTGTCCATTGTTTCTTTGAAGGATTAATTTGAATTGGTAAACTGTTTGTCCTCTGCTTTCTGAATTTTCGAAATATTCTTCTAGACTTCACAAGCTTTATAATTTGATATGTTCTGTTATTCAAAGGTGTAGTGACCTCTCTTTCAACATCCATCTAGTTGGTGGGGGCGGGCTTTCCTGCAACAAAACGTGTTTTAAATTCTAGGCCATATTTATCTTCCTTGTGAATTTCTTCCCTAAATATTGTTATATACTTTTATGGTCTGTTTTTAGTCACCTTTATGTCATTTTGTGATTCACACATTTCAGACTAAGCTGATGTTTTCCTTTGTTTATAAATCCTGTTAAATAGCAATACAGTAGGTTTCTGGGATTTTTCTTAAATGAAGCTTCAACTCATGATTTTCACCCCAAAATTACATGATGGAAAATGACTCACAATTTACAATATCTGTTAGAATGTAATAGGAGAAGTAATTTGAAGAAACATACATGTTCTCATAATAGCCTTTATATTACCTTACCTCTTGGGTTCAATTCCACAGTCACAGTAAGCTCGTTGGCAACCCAGACATCAAAGTGGCATCCTTCCAGTGTCAGAAAAGGAAATTTTCTCTCTGAAAAAGTACTGTATCTTAGTAAGAAGCTCATATATATACATATTTATGTAAATATATATTTTTTTCCAAATGTCTAATTTACATTTTATAGTGCAGACTGTATTAAACAAGGACTTTCTCTATAAGAATTCATTATTTCAATAAAATCACTTAGAAAGAATACTACAGCAAATACTTACCTGGCAAATACCTGACAAATCAAAATAAGTAGAAGTCCAAATTCGTAATTTTTCTGTGGCTCTTTCACACTGGAGTGTACAATTCCTACGAATGGACGGACTTGCTGTCCTTTGGATTGGAAAATGTTGGTATCTGATTGAAGAAGCTCTGAATGACAAGCTGAACACATCCGTGTGTGTCTGGGCTGCATTCCAGTTTTTGACGATATAAGGCCTTTTCACTTAAGCTAGCAATGCCTCTACAGAATGTGTAGCTGGACTGTTTAAAAACATCCCATATATGGTTCTGACACATATTCCTGCCTCTTGAATCCATTGCTATTACCTCCTTAAATCCAATGTCATTACCTCCTTAAACCTCTGATTCAATTTCCTTTTTTATTATTATACTTATGATTATGAAGCAGTGACAGGCATATCTCCAAATATTCAGAGGTCAGCCTCAGTTCAAATAAGCATCCAAAAAGGTAGATATTAATCTGAAGGAGCTAGGTACACACTTAAGGCAGTTTTGTAACCCATTCTCCTTACTCCTATCATGTTCTTGGTAGTAGAAATAAATTTCAAGGCTTAAAACCAAATTGCAGAGGCTTACTTTCTTTTAGGACATAACAGTCAAAGTAGAAACTAAAAATCCAGGTCACCTTGCATAGAAAATGTGCTGAGTTATTCTGGTTTTTTTTTTCCTCTTTCTTGCTTCCACTTGTTCATGGACTAAACTATTCTGGGATATTTGTTGAAGTTCTTCCTGCTGATATGAAACTATGAGAAGCAAAGCTAAATAAATTGTTTTATTACTGTAGGGCCAAAGACATAGATAAAGTAGCATAAAGGAGAATATATAGCCATGTCTTGAAAACTAATCACAAGTATTTAAAATTGCCTGAAAGACTGATAAACTGTCTTTGAGAACAAAACACAGGAAATGTTTTAGAATGTTTTTTTTTTCCTTGTCATAAATGACAAAAAAACCCAGAGACATAAAATGGAAAAAAAAATTAACAGAAAATCTGCAAGCAGACTTGTATAAATCAGGTAAATTTAGAAAAAAAAATTATTTTGGAAGTTCTGCAGGAAATTTACTTCTAAATCTACAGGTAACTTTAATGATGTTTGTCCTGCAGTATTTCTTTTGGGATGTCTTTTGTAGGTACCCTGCTGCTAGTATAAATGTAGGAACTGTAGTTTTCATGTGTATTTTCCCTGAAATTAATTCTTAAATATTTGTGAAAGCCATTTAATAAATGTGGAATATTTGTTTTGGTATGTAAGAATTTCTAAGTTCCTTTTAGGAAAGGAATCTTTAGGCCGGATCTTTTACACAGCCCCTATGGACAATGTGCTGTAAGTCAGAGTACACAAAAGTGGCCTTTTTTCATTGTCCTGCTGCTAATAATGATCAGAGTGTGACCATATTCTCTGGAAAAGCAGTCTGCCTTAAGGGTTTAAGGTTTACCTCTACTGTCCTCTGGTAGTGACCTGAAACAGAAAGTTCACCACAGACTGCTGTGACATAGTAAAGGGAGATCTGTTTTCAGCCCCTCCTGTAATATATGACGAGAGGGGCTGCAACTGCTTACAGTTCCTGAACTAATATATATATTAGTTCAGGAACTGTAAGCAGTTCCCAGGACATCAGCTCTTGCCTCATCAGTGTTCTTATCTAACTCAGCTTGAAACTGTGTGGAATGAGATAACAGAGGCAGCCTTGTGTGGGTGCAACATTCACGGCATCTGTTACTTAGGTACCACTACCTTCTTTAATCACTGCTTTTGCTTGAAGCCACAGGCTCTTCTCTCACTTGGGAACCCTTTCACCTCTTTACATTGCTTCCATATGCATTCCTTAACGCACCTCCTCTGCTTCATAAAAAACGTGCAAACACTCAGTTTTCTTCCCTTCTTTTCAGCACAGGAGCCTGGTGCTATAAATAAGGTGATGTTCTTGGTGATTTGGGCTCAGTCAAGGTTTATTGGCTTAGTAAACTGTTATCAGCTGAGCTCTGCTTCTGTCTGCACGTTTGCTGTGAGGTGATGCAGTGTACCACACGTCTGAGCACAGGGGGATGCCTTGCATGGCCCAGCAGCTCAGCCAGTGAGCTGTTTGTGTCCTATTGCTGTAAGACAGGAGTAGGGCTCAACCCTCTGCCAGTGACATGGGGAAGGCTTGGAGGGAAAAGTTTTAACACAGCCTCACATGGAATCTCTTAAAAATTGGTGTCAGGAACAAAAGGCATTATCAGCTGTAGCTCTGCACTCCCACATCTCATGCACACGTATACACACACATGCACACCATCCAAGCTCTTCAAATGTAAGAGGGGGAAGGGCTATAGGCTATACAGCTGATCAGAATAATTTTGCACAATAATTTTGGCCACATGAATAAAAATGTTGATGTGCACAGCAGTTTACATGAAAGTTTATATACAGGTTGTCTTCTGTGATTTCCAGCTCTGGAACAGGAATTCATACTTTTATTTTACTCAGTTTGTGAAATACTTTGAAGGGGGTGGGTGAGAGCAGCAAGAAAGAGGTTTTAACAGACAAAAATGAATCAATTTAATTCCAGTCTTTGTTCTCAAGGTCTTCCTTTGAAGTTACCTAATGAAACTCAACTACATTCTTCTCCTTAACATGGTTAATGCAACTGTCAGGTTGGAGAGAGAAGGAGCTAGTATAATTGAAGATTTAATTTTGAACTGTATTGTAAACTAGCTTTTATAAAACCCAAAAACAGTAAAGTGGTTCATTACATTTTAGAATGTCTGATGTAAATAAGGTCTCTGCATGTGTGTGATCAATCTTTCCAAGGACCAAAATATTTTGATGTTCCCAGGCTTGATTTGCTTGTTCAGGCTGAATAAGCTCAGCTCGTATGCATTTAGAAACTGACTTGAATTTTAATTTTATTCTAATGTCTAATTGTGCCTGCTGTGGTTACCTCTAATTCCTACTAAGTAGCCCCTCAGCTTTTGCAGAAAGGCTCTAGAGATTTTTTAAGGTTATTGACCAAATCAGAAATGTGCAATCAAGTAATGCAGAGTTACTTCACCCAGTGTATGAGAGGCAGAATTTATTCTATTGCCAGTTATCCAGGGAGGAGGAAAGGCAAACTTTGCTGCAGAAAATGCATTTTCTAAGTTTTAGCCCCTTTGTTTGACCATAATTATTTACAATCCACATTGTTCAACTTCCATTGTCACTTACTGCTTCCTTCACGACTTCAAGGAGAGAGGAGGCATCTTAGTGTGTAAAGGAGAAGTCCCAAGGACATGACTACTATTTTAATATTGTAACATTTTATGTGTGATATGAGAGAATTTTTCAGTGGTACTGAAAACCTAACTCCTTCTGTGATCCATTTATTTTGTCTGTGCCCATTAATCAGTTTCTCTCTTGTCCTGTTCACGGAAAAAAAAAAAAAAAAAAAAAAAAAGGCACCTTAATATTAGAAAAATAGTGTGGGAAGAGTGTTGACCAGAGGTTTGACTGACATCACTGTGAGCTCAATGCATGGAGCTCTTCATTTTTTTTCTTCTTCCTACCTAGATTAAGAATAAAAGCAATGTCAGAGCTGCTTTCAAAGTCATGGCTGAGTTATACACATTTGCTCCTGGAATCCAAGAAAAAACAATTTTCAAAGTTTGAGTGTTGAGTATGAAGCAGAAGTGACAGAACAGTTTGTCAGTGGAGAACATTCTATAGTGCTATTTAAAGATTGTCCTCGACCTTTCCACCTCTTTTAAAGCCTTGTGAGAGAGATTTAAACTTCTCTTTTGCCAGTGGCCTACTGTCAGTTCCATATTTGTGTTTGTTCTCTCCATGCTATGGATGTAAGAGCACATTATGTGGAGATCTTCCAAATCCTCTTTTAAATCGTGTCTGAGAAAGAGCCCTCAGATTCAGCCAGGTCAACCTTGGCACTTAAAGTTCAGAGAGATACTTTTCTTTCCTTGATCTCCTCTTCAGCCAACTTTTTACAGTTGGTAGATTGAAAACTGACCTGAAGATAGTAAAGGTTTTATTATTAGTACTTATGAGTCAAAAGTTTTCAATACTTTTTATGTGTGAATTTTCTTCTGAGATACATATGTGTAGCTATCTATACATCTATATCTATATCCATGTATGTATGTATGTATGTATCTATGCAAATACGTATGCTGATGAATTACTTGTAAGGCTAAGTTTTTAGATTGTTTGTAAGCAGATTTCTCTTATAAAAAATGCTCTACCAGTAGGAATTGTGTCCAAAATGACAAAGTGCTACAAAGAGTGCTATTTTCAACATAAAATTCAGGAAAAATTAAATACTGAAGGTACTTTCACATGCCAACTTCTACAGTGGTCACCCTTTCGTGTATAATGCCCCAAAAGTAGGTACTACCACAAAGGCACTGTTAATTGCTGAAAAATCATTTATTATATATTGAAGAATCCTACAGAACTCCTGATCTTTAGCCATAAGTGTAAAATGTAGAAATGGAGCAAGAATTAAGTTACCACAGGGAGTTTTAGTGGTAGATTTATTTTCTCTTATTCTTAGCTCAGCATCCTCATTTGAAAAGGAACGTAACAAAGTTCATTCCATATTGTATTCACAGGCAAAGAATAAATAGCCCACAAATGGGTTCATGTAGCTGTTGATACTCACAACTGGCTCTTTTGGAGGTGTCATTGTATATGTTTCTGTGTCAAAAATACACTCTGTGGAGGAACAGCTTTTAGTTTGTGTCCAAGTGGGGTATCATTTAATGAAAAGGCAGAAAATAAGAGCACAGCTGATTTGAAGCAATTCAGAAGGAGTTTCACAAAATCAGTATAGGTCAAATAGCACCTTGTTGCAAGATCTGCCTTTATTATTTACTACTGTGTCATTTGTTCTCTTGTAGTCTAAACACAGTAAATACAGTGATGATTGAAAATAGTTTTGGGTATTTGTTAACAAGGTTATGGTGACTGTACCTATCCGTCAAGTTTTCTTATTCAAAATATCACTTCTAACAATTCTAAGTCCTAACTGAAAATACCTTTTGTTCTTTATTCCCTCCTTTGAAGACAAAGACAGGGGTTTGTTTGCTGCAGGATGGTAACCAGGAGCCTTTCAAAGTGCGACTGCACTTAGCCAAAGATATTTTGATGATCCAGGAGCAGGATGTGATCTGTGTGTCTGGTGAGCCTTTCTATTCTGGTGTAAGTAGTTTTTATTTCTTCTTTAAGATGTTCTTTGCGAAGAAACAGTGCTGTGTGTATTTGTGTGTGGGTGCATACACACGTCTGTATGCATTTGTTCCCATGGATTGGTATTTCGGTTTACACAATGGTTTTTTTTAACACAATGTTTTTTTTGTGAGTAAATATTAGCAATACGCATCTAAGAAGCAGAAATAAGATACTAAGTTCTATGCATGACTGCAGCACTGTTTCTCTTCTCTCACCCTTGGGTATTGGAGCCAGTGAATGTGGGAGGAATGCCACAGCAGTGGTGTTTGCAGGGAGTACAGATACCTCAATGTACTTATGTATCTGAGTATTGTCTGTGGAGTTGATAAGATAATTATGTCAAGGCTTTGCTGATAGAGGAGTTACCTTTTATCCTCTGTTGCTTGGGTTCCTTCCAGTGGTAGCCCAGCACTAGACTTCAGGAATGCTGTGAGAGTCACTAGCCTTAACAGCATATCATGTTAACAGACATGGAACAGTGGGATAATACAGTTTGTATATTACTGTTTTACATGATGTGTCAGGTTCCTTATTTAAGCATCATATTGAATTTTGTGCATGGGAAACTACAATTATTTGGAAAATCTGTAAAATTTTATTTAGAATAGTACTGTAGGGTTTAGAGCTATTTTAATGCAAAGTTTTTATTTAATATTAGGAGATGATAGGTACAAAAATAATAGAAAAAATAGCATTAATTTCTATAGACATTTTTATAGATACTGGAATTATATTTTGTAGAGATATTTTAAGATTTATGTGAAACTATCATGAACATTTTGGTCTCCCTTTGAGCTAAATAAAATACTCATTGAATTTCATGTTAAATCTTGTGAGGTGTAGTAGTGTGATATTATATTTATACATATATATATATATTTCTATTTATACAAATGTTTTGTTAATTCTATTATGTCTGTTTTATTATTTAATTACTGCTGTTGCCACATACTTGCATCTCTAAATACAAGCACAATAAAAAGATAGAAAGCACAAATGAAAAATAATTGGTAGAATGTTAGCAGTGCAAAGAGCGTGAAAGATTAATGAAAAAATGTATCAAATTATCCTTCTCATGATTATGAATATCTCAAGGTGAACTCTTCGGAGCTTTTCTCTGAAACAGAGGAGCATGTTGCTTACAGTCTCCATAGAGTCTGAGTTTATTTGCTTGACAAATCTGACATTAGCTCCTGACGGTTTCATGCTGAACAAATGCAGTTTGCCGATACAGGTCTGTATCCTTTATGTGGATTATGGATGCTCCTTTTACCAATCAGCCCCTCCTGTTCCTCAATAGGAAATCCAGCAGCCAGGCTAGAAAGCAGTTACGAGTTCAAGCTCAAGCTGTAGTTGTTCAATTAGCAACATACACTGTGGCACCATTATTCCACCAACACCATTCTGACTTTATTTATTAAAAGATTTTATCACTCAGAAATATGACTTTCATTATTCTGCTGTAATATCTGTAATATCCTGCTGAACTTGTTATTTAAATGTCTTCATGGAATGCATATTAAATTTTTTCCCTTTCACAACAAGGCTTTCTCTTACAGTATTTCTCTCTTTAGTTTTGCAAAGGCTCTGTGGAAAATAGATTATTTGCTTCCCCAGTTAAACTCCCCCATGTTATTTGCATATTGATGCATAGTTCATTAACTGATTGATATTAGTGTGTTGATGCAGAGTTTCTTTTTCCTGGAAGTGTTATTGATAGAGTAGTGGCATTTGAGCACTTTACTCTGATTTCCTTTGGGATTAAGACTAGAACTTTTAGCAGTAGGTTCATTCCAGCTAAGGATGATTGGCATTTCACAGACAGGTAACTGTCCTTTTGTTACAGGTAATTTGAATAATCTGGAATCATGTACCTTGGTTATATACCACAATCACAAACGTTCCACAGGCTTCTTCTTCTTTTTTTTTTCTTCTATTTTTCCTTGGTTTTATTCCTGATTTGTTAGGTTTAATTTGTTTGTTTACTAATTTTTCCTATGTTTTATTGTGTTTGGTTGATTTTGTTCTGTTCTTTCTGTCATTCTAGATAACTGACTGCTTTTATCCTTCTTTTACCTGAATTCTACAAAGCAAGGGTTTTCATTAGCAGCTGACACTGAATACCTCAGAGAATAAACTCTTTAAGCATAAAAATAAAATTTGTAACTGCCGAACAATAGTATTGTTACATTTTACAGACAAGTAGCTACAGTAAAAGTAATTTTAAATCTGTTTAAATAAATAATCTTTAAATAATTTGATTATGAGGTTTTGCTTTATCACTGCTGCACTGGTATGGAACGAAAGGCTATTATTGAGTTTCTAGTTCAGAACAGTGTCTCTTCTGTTTGTTGAGTCTGAATCAATTTGCATGCTTCTCTGTGTAGGACAGTCTTTAAACAGGCACTTAACGTTCCAGCAGCATCCAGATCTGCATCCTGTGGAATAATCTAAATAAAATCAATGGCTCCTTAGGAATGAAGTGCTGTTTAATGTGAGTGTATGGGATAAGGACCTAGTTCTTAATTTGGAACACTTCCTTTTGGTGTTAGACAGTTCTAGTTTCCAAAACTAAAGAGCTGCAAAGAAACGTTTCTTCTTTTGTTGTATGCAGTTTGAAGTAAGAAAATAAAAGCATAATAGATTATAAGCAAAATAAATAGCTTATAAAATCTTTTTCTAAAAAAAGAAAGCATCTGTTTCTTTAGTGGGCTGAAAAAAATGATAAGCATTAATGAGGGTCCTGCAGCAATTCTACCTATAGCAATTCCATATAGCATCAACTATCATTCAGATGGTCATGGAGTACATCTAAATTTGAACATCAGTTTCATCAATAAGTATTAAATATATTTCATTTTGTGTGCCATAAGAAAGTCTTGCTTTTCAAGAGCAGGAAGTGTAGCAGGTTCAGCATTATACTGCTGGCAGATACCCAATGTAGATTTGAGCTCCAGTGCAAATGACCAAAAGTGGGATGAGAACATATTGTGAAACTCAAAGTGTGGTGGGCAGTGTTGTTACTAATCCAAATTAAATCCTTGCCTGTAGAGAGGTTTTATATTATGGGAAGTGTATGCCACAGTTGGAGTGGCTTGTGTTGAAAGATAAGATTGCTGTCAGGTCAGGTACGCCTTTTTCTCCCAGAGCAGTTACAAAATGTCCTAAAAAGAGTAGAATTAAACCATGTAGGAACCTCATCACTATTTATGGCAGAACTGTATAATATCTTAATATAGTCTTTTAAGCATATTTCTTTAATTACTTGAAATTATGCTCACAACAGTTTGCTGTCTGGTGTTCCATATAACAATGTGCAGTGAGGCAACTCCCACTCTTTTTAGACATACATTTAAATAGCCTGGACTAACCAGGATAGCCTAGTGCTGAACTTGGTGAAAATAATGGTGGGAGAGGAGATAGCCTAAGGTATCTGAAGTAGATTTGTTCCTAGGAAAGATTTTAATATTTGCCATTCCAGAATCAATATTTTTATTTTAGAGTTAACCCTTGTAGTTTCTGTTACCTTTCATGAACATCTGAAATTCAAGGAAAAGGATTATTGCACTATATCAAGATAAACAGTTTATCTGTTTGGGAAGCTGTGGAGTTTTGCTTCTTTTCTTTAATAAATTTTGTTCATTAATTGTACTAAGAATTTTTTCTACACATGGAGTCTATGTGCATGTGAGATCCATAAATTAAGGATATGACAATGAACCATCTGACAGAATGGATGATTTGAATTAGCTACTCTTTTTTCTAAAAATTATCAAAATAAACTGCAAGCACCTGGCAATTTGTTAGCTACCAGGATAGTTTGCATTTTTACAAAATTTTCTTAAATATTCTTTTAAAGGGTCATAGACTACAAAATACTGCTAACTCACCTGATGATAACATACAGATGAGTCACATCTCTTTCAAGTAATTTATTTCTATGCTGCTGTGTAGTAAATGCATTAATAAATTAAACATTAAGAAGTTCTTTCAGTGGTTTGATTTTTTAATTAAGGATCTTTGGGGAAAAATTGTATGAAGGTCAATCATAACTCAATATTAATAAAAAGTGAATGAATGGGGTTTTTTTTGTGAATTGATAGAGCGACAGCTCTCAGAGTAGCATGTCGTTTGTGCAAGCATTTTGCTAAGGTTGATACAATTGTATCTAAATGTAGCTAATGGACTGTAATTAGTTTTTTGATTAAAAAAAACCTATCAATAAACACCTTTACTAAGGCCAGGATACAACACTGTCTCAAAGTGTTGCACTGCAGCTGGATCTGTTTTCTGATACTATTAACCACACTGTCATTTTTTTATTGTAAGCATAAAAAGAAAGGTATGTTTCACTTTTAGGGTTGTCTGTATGCTTTCGTGAAATCAAGTGCTGAAAGATTCATAAATATATACAAAGCCTGTAAAGTATTAACGAAAATAGTTGTTAGATATTTTCTATTTTTTTTTTTTAGTTTTGTATAAAAAAGTATTTTAAATTGAAAACTTTACACTATAGAATTTTTCCTTGATTTTTTAAAAATTTCAATAATAAAGTTATTAATTTTTAAGAATAAAATTAAATTCAGAACACATCACTTAGGAATGACATGCCTGGGAAGTCACATGAAATGATTACATTTTCCTTACTTGAATATTTAATTTTTTTGAGATTTTGTGAGAATTAATTTTGTATCTGTTATATTGCATCATTCTCTTTTGAAAATTTTGAATTTTCTTGTCATATATTTTAGTGTTGGTAAAAAAGGTTCAATTAACTTCAGCAATTTTAATGAATAGAAATAGAAGAAAAAAAATTAAAATGGTAAAAATGGAAAAAAGCTTAAAATGGTAATTTATAGTTTTGACTTATTTTCTCCATTGTCTTTATTTACAATTTTGATTCTGATGTGTGATTGAATTTTATAAACAATGCCAAAATGGAACTCACTGTCTTGTAAGGAATATGTGCA